AATGACAGTACGTGACCAAGGTGACGTCGAAGCGTCAACCGAGGTGCCACGTGTCATCGTCATATGCCGAGGTGACCTCGGCTAAGCCGAGGTTGTCTGTGGAGATACCGAAACCCAAGACGAGCGGATAAGGGACAAGAGTCCTAGACTAGGGGAAGATCTCAGTCTGAATAAAAATAAAGCTCTTAAGGAATTTATCCCTATAGGTGAGAGTCCAGATAAGCATTGGGCCTGAGTCCACTGAGGTGAGGCTTCTACAGAGATCAGGTTTGTGCTAGCTATAAAAGCAGGGCACCCCTGTAGGTCTTAGGTATGTATGAGAGACTGAGAACCATAAGTTCTTTCTTGTGAGTTAAGCTCAATTAACCATCTTCGAGAGATATTTGATTACTGACTTGAGCGTCGAAGTGTCTCCGGGTGGACGAACCACTGCCGGATTCTGATCTTTCTGTGACGGGTTATTCGGGCTTAATCTATTCTACTGATGCTCTCCAGCTGAGTTCCCGGTTTGGTTATGTGATTAAAAATCAATATCCACAAAAGTAATTATTTAAAATTAAGAAAATCAAAAAAATTAGAATGAGAATTTAGAGCTCCTAAAAGGCTTCCCACCAAAAAGTTCATTTTCCTTATATAATATACTAGCATAATTACCCGTACTATGCACGGGTATAAATAAAGAAAAAAGATTCGGATCCCCTTTGGGGGTCACCCCCACAACCCCCTTTGTTTTTGATCGGTCAATTTTTTTTATTTTTTTTTTTCTTCTCTCCCAATCCCCAACCCCCACGTGTGTGCGGGGTGATGGGGGTGGAAGTTTTGAGGGAGTCTTAATCAGTCCTCATAAATAAATAATCAAAAATTAATTTTTAAAATTAAATAATAATCTAAAAACTTTATCTACAATATTTAGCAAAAATGATTTAGAATCAATTAAATTTTATTCATTTTTATCATAGTTACATATAAGAGAATTTTTTATTTTTATTTTTTATATTCTTATGTCATTAATTGTGTGTTCTAAGTTCTTAATAACAAATATGTGTCATAATTTAAGTGGTAAAAATTAAAAAATAAATCACAAAAATTATATTTATGATAAAATATAAATACATTTCGTCTTATAAGTTTCGTAAATTTAATTTATCATATGATAGCGGTAAATTACATTTGTCAATATAGTAATTTTTTCATATTTTGTAAAGTGTAAAAATTATAATTTGTCTTATGTTATAAGATATACGTAAAAATGAATTAGGATTTACTTGTGATATTAAATTTGGGCTTAACATTAAATTTACGCCAACTTGTCCTTCACTTAATTATTAAAAATTGTCTTGTTTTGTTCTCAACTTATATAAATCATTTAACCTATCTATTTATTAAATTAGTAAATAAATATTTGTAAATATTTTTTTATAATAAAAATAAGAAATATGGACTTATTTTATGCGTACTTATTAAAAAGTTTGAACTATAGTTTAAAAAAAAAAAACCTTGATATTTATGTTTAAAACAATTAAATGAATAGTTACATATATTTATGTATAAAAAAAATTATTTAAGATAAAGTCATCCTAAATTGTAGGTTAGATTCTAGTCTTAATAAATTTAAATTTTATATTTAAATTATGTCATAGTTTATCAATTCGTGACTGATATGAGCTAATTTGAGAGTTCTAATATTGGATTAAACATTAAAAAGTAATTAAGAAAATTTAGTTCAAGTCGATTTTTGTTGCTAATAATTCTTGATTTAAGCCTAATCCTTAAAGAATCATTTAGTTCATGCCCAATCCATGAGTTAGTAGATCTACCTATTTATTTAATTTTTAATTAGTAAATATATTTTTTTAAAATTTATAACAAAAATAGGAATGTACATACTTGTTTCGTATATTTATTAACAACTTCAAAATTAATTAAGAAATTATGTACTTATTCTTAAAATGATAAATTACATTGGTAATCCCTATATTTTAAGTCTTGTGTTATTTTTGTCCTTACAATTTTAATTTGCTCAATTTTGACCTTAAATTTATAATTATATCTCAATTTGTTCCAATTGTTATAATTGCTAGTGTTTTTTTATTATTATTGAAAATGCACACATGAGTAGCATTTGTTATACTTTTATAGACAAAATTATAAATTTGTTCAACTTAATAAGTTAATCTTAACCAATTCAATAACTATTTTCTTTCAAAAATCTTAACCAGCATTATCAATTGTACCAAATTAATACAAAATCTAAAATTAGGGTAAAAATCAAACTAATTGAAATTACAAAAACCAAATTGACACAAGAGACAAAATGCGAAGACTATCGATATAATTTACCCTTTTTAAAATATGCTTAATATTGATCAATATTAAGATATGTTTATATTTGTAAAACTATTTAAGACCAAATCAGACTAGAACCTAAATAAAAAACTAATGGCTTATTAAAAATATTTAATAATTGTAAATTCAAATTTGGTCAATTTTTCATTCAAAATTTTTCATAGAATTATGTTGTTTGATAATTTTAATTTATAGATTCAATTTTTCCTTATATTTTTTTTAAAATATTTTAAAATTATATATAATTATAATTTCTTTTTAAATTTCCTTTTCAATCTCAAATTAGTTATAACTTGAATTTGGTTAAAATTTATTTTTGACTTCTCATCTATAAAAACTAACAATAAACATAAATTAATTTTTTGAATATTGTAAAAAGGTAAATAAAGAAATATATTATCAATGATAATAATAACAAAACATATTTTTATTTATCATGTGACGTCTCACCACTACATTGATAATAGACATTAATAATAAAAATTATTACGATAGTACAACAATAATATTTCACATGATAAGTAACATGTGATCATAATAATTTTTTATAGTTATATAAAAATACCCAAAATTATATCTAAAAAACAATATAGGATCCATATTCAATTTTTATATGGTAAAATTCACACTTAAGCTCAACCAAACATTAGTTTTCTAAATCAATTCATGACCCAAACTATCTACTATTCTTTTAACATTTCACATTTTCAAAATCCACCCAAACAATGTTCTGGCCGAACTAATCATCACCCTTATGGTTGCCATGCTCACCACCTCCACTAACCATTATGCAACTCCGGTGTAGTTTTTTATCTTTGTAAATATAAAAAGACAATGTTGTGGAAATAAAAAGGTATGGTAGAGTTTTAAAGAGTTAAAAATGAAATATTAAAAAAAAATGCTTGATTTTAGGTTTTTTTTATTCCATATATAGGTGTTAAATTTATTTTTTTTTAAATCCATAAATTATGGAATAGTATTCATTATTTAAAATTTTATTTTTTGGTGGGCAAGTCAATTAAATGTTTTAATTTTTTACAAACAAAAAATTTGAAAATTTTGTCTAAGAAATTTTAAAAAATGGCCCATCATAAAGAATAATATAAGACGCCTTAGTCTATAAAAAATATAAAAACTCATAACTATATTATCAATTCACATATATCAAAAGAAATAATAACAACAATATAAAAAATACACAAACATCCACCAAAAAAAAAAACTTCAAATCAACTCCCAAAACAAAGATAGTTAACAAATATATATTTATTATCAATTTAGTTAGAAAAAAAATACATTGGAAAAAAAAATCATACAGAGAAAAAAAAATACTCACACAAAAATATATATTTACAAAAAAAAAATTCACAAACAAACAAACTTGAAATAAATCTGGACTATTGGTAAAGAGAGAGAATAACCATTACATCATTACATTTGGGAAAAAGTTTGTCAGGCTGGAAAAAAAATCAAATATTAAGTATTTTAAAAAGAACTGTATTAATTTTTTATTTTGATTGGGTTTTTTAAATTTTATATTTATATTATTTTCAGAAAAATGAGAGTAGAATGAAGGTAACTTAACATATTATTTTAAATTTTGAAATTCAAAATAGGTAATTAGTGTCTTAATTTTTTTTTTATTTAAATTATTTTGATCAACATTATTTTTAAAGAGTGAAAGTAACTTATCATATTGTTTTAAATTTTAAAATTCAAAATTATAAATAATTAAAACTTTTTTTATTTTTGAATTTTGGACTCAAGGAACTAACCAATAAATTTTTTTTATTTCTTTAAGAATTAACAAAATTAGTTTAAAAATTTAGAACTTCCGCAATCATTGATCTTAAAAAAAAACCATTTCCTTTATATATATATATATATATAGATAAGAGGCCATCAAATTTAAAATATTATTTCCCTGTTGAAGGAAATGCTTTGCTAATCTAGTTCTATGCATGCATGGTCCAATGAGATTTTACCGAATATAATATCACTAAATTTGTCAATACTTCGTCTAGATTCTCCTTCCACACACCCAAAACAATGAAAATAAACCGCAAAAAATGTCTCGTAACTCAAATTTTGTGATTCAAAAGTGACTCAAATGGCTAAAACGACATCGTTTTGACTATTTTTATGTTGTTCTGTACTCAAAACAACGTTGTTTTGGCCATTTGAACCACAAAATTTGAGCTACGTAGCATTGTCGATAAACCGCTTACAAAAAGAAGCATGAATTTGTTCACATACTCTATCAAGTAATGTTGATAAACCACACACTCATTGGTTAAAAATATTATGCTATTTTAACCAATGATAGAGCATGATTTGTTGACAGTTTATCAGAGAGAACATAGCATCATGACCAAGGGCACATCCCACCCCTCAAGGTCCACACCATGAATCCCCTTGGGGTTCTTATTGAAGACTATAATTGAAAGAAAAATGCTATACAAATTAACAAATCTTATAAATGAATAATTATTATCAGATATAGCATGCAGACTTTGAAATTTGAAATTTGAAATTTGAAACCAAACCCATTTGAATAAAACATTAAGGGCAACTCGTGTGTGTTTTAGAAAAAGTTTGTAAAATCTGTTAATTTGTATAGCACGCACTACTCTAATTGAAAATGTAAACACAAATTTAAGCAGAGCCATATCTGAGATAATAGCGAGTCCTCACACATAAAATAAGTATAAGGTGATATCGATGAACAACAGATAGGCGGGGACAGCTAGGCCAATGCAAATGGAACGGAACTGCCCATTCCAGACTTCTACAATTATATGTCAGTAACAGTGACACAAGACCAGACAATGATACAGAACAATTACAGAAAGGGTTTCTGGATTCTCTCTCAACTTAATTAAACACACACTACCAAAGACAGGAAACGGAATCATCCTCACCAAGTCGACTCATTAGAAAGAGGGGGGAGGGGGGGGGTCTTCCATGCAACTTCACTGCATCAAACAAAAAAAAAAAAGAAACAAGCAGTCCATGTGTGAGAAAAGGCTCAAGAATGATCTTTTTATTTATTAATTTATTTGATGAGAAAGGAGCTATATCAAAAGTATTTTCTACTCATAAACAGGGAAAACCAACTAGGTCTGGAGGGAAATCGAAATGAAATGAAAGAAGCTAAATTCATTTCTTTTGTTTGGCAGGGTAGGAAAATGTGAATAAAATGAATAATTAATTGTTTAAAAAAATTGTTTGGTTACCAACAAAAAATGAATATGTATAACTAATTTCATTTCCGTTGACAAATCCAAGATCCAAACATAATATTAGGTTGTGTTTGGATCATGGAACGGAAAAGAAAAGTGTGAATAAAAAAATAAAAGCCTGACTTTTCCCTTCATTTTTCCTTTATTTTCACAAATCCCTTCCCAAATTCATAATCCAAACAGTCATAATGTTCCAAGAAAAGGAAAATAAGTGATTGAGGAAAATAAGTGATTGACCAACCTCGGTTTCATCAACTCCAGCTTTGGCAGAGATCTCCATCTTTTGGTCTTCTGTTGCGATAAATAAAGGCACATAGCAAGTTAATACCGAAAAAATAAAAAGAAGATAAGCCTCCTCTAATGCGTATGAGAGGTTTAGGTAGGTGTGGAGAGAAATTTTGGGGTGTATTTAGAATCACCCCTCAAATGATTGATGCTACAGAGCTAAAATGTTCATCATGGAAAAAAGGAATAACCATGCTAGTACCAGTGAGAATTTTTGGTAAATAGAGGAGACGTTAGCAACGTCAACTTCTCAAAACAAACATCCTTTTCCCTTTATTTTAAAAACAAAAGGCACACCCATAATCTTCTTATTTTTCAACTTTAACACAATGATGCACTTTCAAACTCTCAGTAATCCTAATCCTATGTTTGACATCGAAAATCAGGAAAATAACCAAAGAGTTGGAAGTGACAACTCCCCTTTTCAAACAGAAAGTGGGAGGAGCTGTCATTTATCTACTATTAGTTTTATTTTCCACATAGAAAGAATTGACTAACACACAGATCAAGTGTTGACACATGCCGCTGTTGTAGCAGGACACCTAGTGAGTGTGAGACCAGTATGCAAAAACAGTCGAAGGAAGTAACTTAAATTAGATTTAAACTCATAATGTAAACAGAGCAGAGAAAGTAAATGAATAATTCGAAGAGAAAGCAAGATCTACATTGTTACAGGTAAAGAAAAATCAGGCTGTATAGTCACATCAACTAGAATTTATACAGAATACCTCCATCTTCAGGGATGTCAGAAGTCCACAAAGTAAGGTTATCCCTCAAAAGTTGCATAATTAAAGTGCTATCTTTGTAAGATTCCTCATTCAGGGTATCCAGTTCAGAAATAGCTTCATCAAAAGCTTGCTTCGCCAGGTGGCAGGCCCTAATGTTAAATTAACCAAAGGGTAAGATTCTACTGAATACAAGCATCACATAACTAAATCACAATTATTATGAAGACACAATTAATGCATACCTTTCAGGCGAGTTCATAATTTCGTAATAGAAGACGGAGTAATTTAAAGCCAAACCCAGTCGAATGGGGTGAGTGGGAGGTAAGTCAGTATCCGCAGTAGAAGAAGCCATCTGCAAACAGACAACAATTTAATTGGGAAGTGATCATTGTTATATTGAGCATACAAAACAGTTCAAACTCCCAGAAATATCGAGGATGTAATGTTAACAAAACATGGGGTAAAATCCCACTGGAAGCAAGCGACACTTAAAAAACTTAATATAATTAGACAATTACATGCTATTGTCCATTCTTGTACAAATCCTGATTTTAAGGAAATGTACAAACCAATATCTACTTCTCAATACAGAGAACATGTGGAAGGCTACAGATTTAAGAAAGTCAAAGGGCAAATAGCAAGGGAAGAATAAAGGGGATCCAGTCATGTTCATTTCCATACAAATTCAAAATCATCAGCCTTCACATAAAGACTTCCAATAACACATTTGTTTGTATCTATGTTACCTGGAATGTGGATCGTTCCAGTACGAAAAACGGGAACAAAAACGTGATACACCACATGCTCTAAAATGTGGTACGATATGAATAAACTTGTATATATTATATTTGCGCATTTAAGGTACTTTTAGAGTAATTTTCTTTTAATTATTAGGCATCTAATAAAATATAATTTTTCTACGACCTATTTTTTATGTTTTGAAAAAACTTTACTTACCTTAAATTTTAATTCATTATATTTGATTTTTTCTTCCTAAGGAAACATTTAAAGAAATTTATTGTAAAAAACCTTTGGGATTGTTTCAGATTGCTGAATTTACCGTTTTGGATCATAAGTGTACCATATTTTTGGAATGTGCGTATTGGTACGTAATTCGCTAGGGTATTAGCGTTTTCTGGTAACATAGTTTTGTATATAATGATCTGAGATGGATCAGCATCATGTTGCTTGTAGCATCTCAAGGTACCAGGCAAAGAAGGCTAAACTAAGCATATTCTACTTCCATATCAATGTAATTATTTTTCATTGTAAGTTGCGTAGTAAGAACCAAAAACCCTACTTATATGACTATCATGTTGCAAAAGTAACATGAACAGAAAACTGCATCCCTGTAGGCATTAAGTCAGATTCCTATGAAAGCAACATATTCAATCCCCAAAAACCCTCTTATATAAATTGAAGTTAAGGGACTCAAATTATTCTGTCCGAGCCACAAAACATGGTTGAGATTGCAATATTGCGGTACCACCGAAGACATACACACAAATATATCTATCTATCTTCTATACTATTATAAATGGAAGGCTTGAGATGGTGCTGATGTCTCGTTTTTTGGGTTTTTCCAAAATACCCGTCTAGCAGTTATGTGGGCAGTATATGGTTCATTAAATCCTAAAAAATGGGTTTTTTTTTTTTTTTTTTTTTTTTGAATCTCTCAAATTTTGATTTTTTCAAATTAATTTATATTTTCAGATTTTGAATTCAATCATATAGTTTACAATCTTATTTTTTGAAACAAAATGATCATAGGCGCATGCATCACATGTGCCATCCTTCTCGTGTATATATATATCAATTGTCATGACTAGGGATGGCAATTTGAAACCGGCCCGACGGGAATCCCCGATCCTGACCCCGATTTAAGCGGTTTTTCCCCGAAAAATATCCCTGACGAGAAGGTGACGGTATTTGAAAATCAATCCCCGATCTGTCACGGGCCGGGGACAGTGATCTGTGTTTGATCCCCGGCCCGGCCCGGCCCGATCCCCGGCCCCGGCCCCGTCCCCGTCCCCGTCCCCGTCCCCGAAATTCCCCGAAGTGAAATTACTTTTATACCCCTCATAATAATAATAATAATAATAATAAATCAAACCTAACCTAACCTGTGTATTAAATTTCCCCGAAGCTTCCCCCGTACTACCTGTGTATTAAAAAACCAAACCAAACCTCTTCCCTTCGTCTCTCTCTCTCTCTCAACTCTGTCTCTCCTTCTCTCCATTACTCTCTCTCAACTCTCCTCCTCTCTGTCAACTCTCTCACTCTCAACACCACACCACTGTCCCCGATCTCTTCTTCTCACCGAACCAGTGTCGATCCCTCACCTCTTCCTCACCTCTAATCTCTCTTTTCCTCACATCTAATCTCTCTCTCTTTCTCACCAAACCAGTGCCGATCTGACAGAGCACCAAACCAGAGCACCAATCTGAGCAGAGCACCGGATCGATCTCTCTGTGCCGCGATGCCAAAGTCGATTGAGCAGATGAATCTCTCTCTCTCTACTTAGATCTGAGCAGATCGATCTCTCAATCTCTCTACTTAGATCTAATATAAATTGTTGTTGATGTTATTTATATAAACTATTTGTAGATGATGTTGATAGATGATGTTTGTTTGTTTTTATTTTTATTTTTTGGATCGGATGTTGATGATATTGAATCTGCCACTGCTGTTTGGGTTTCCACTACTGTTAGGTTTTTTTTTTTTTTGGTCCGGAGAATTTTCGGGGTCGAGGAAACCCGATCCCCGATAGGGGGCGGGGATGGGGATGATGATTGGTTCCCCATCGGGGATCGGGGATCGGGGCCGGGGCCGGGGCCGGGGAGATGTTTACCATCGGGGACGGGGAGTGCGATCCCCAGCCCCGCCCCGCCCCGTTGCCATTCCTAGTCATGACGAGAATGCTAAGATGAATTAGATTACTATAAAGGCATTGAAAAGGTAAGAGTTAAAAATAAATGCTTTAGAGGTAACGGCCCGCTCAATTAAAAAACAATCTTAATTGAGTTCGCGCATTATCTGATACAAAAACACTAAACCGGTATGTTTATAATGAAGATGTGTACAAGCAATCTGTGCATATAAAAGAAGAAACTAGTAGAAAATAGACAAAAGGATGCACTTCATAATAATCTTGTACTAGCATATCCTCAGAGGTTTAGGCTTATAGAAACTACCTCACTTGCAACCTTCTCGACCTTATAAGTATAAATACAATATTGCAAAAGGAATTACGGAGGAATCTGACTAACTGATGATCAATTAACTAAAAACCAAAAGGGCTTAGCAAGAGACTTCACATGAGTAAAACAGAGCTCAAAACGACCAACGAATAGAGAGACTGAACAGTTGGTATACCTGGTATGCCTTGAGTGACAGATCAGCAGCCTCTTTCTTCTCATTACCAGCCTTGAACTCTGCAAGATACCGATAATAGTCTCCTTTCCTGCAACCGCAAATATTTTTTTAGCATAAAAAGCTATACATATACTCTGATGTGTGTGCATGTAGAGAGAGAGATAGATAGATATATATATATATAGAGAGAGAGAGAGAGTAGACATTTTATAGTAGAAAACAGTGGACTCTCCACCAGAACAGGAAGGAATGAGATGCTCATCAATGACAGTCATAATATCACCGCAAATCTCAGTGAGCTCCGACTCCACCTTATGCCTGTACTCCTTGATCCGCTTGGCGTTCACTTCGTTCCCTTTAGACTCCTCCTTCTGCTCAATCGAAGACAAGATCCTCCACGACGCCCTCCGAGAACCAACCACGTTCTTGTACCCCACAGAAAGCAAGTTCCTCTCCTCAACAGTCAGTTCCACATCCAGATTCGCAACCTTCTTCATCGCATCCACCATCTCTGCACACAAATCGGTCAAACCCTAACCCTAACCCTATCCCTAATCGAGTGATCAAAATCAAGTTCAGATTTCAGATCTAGATTACTAACCGTCATAGCGTTCGGCTTGCTCGGCGAGCTTGGCGATGTAGACGAAGGTCTCGCGGTCTTTGGAGGAGGCCATGGTTGATCGATCGGAGCTCTACTTGCTCTCTTATCTCTCTCCTCTTCCGTCGCTGTCGAATTGGGGAGAAACTGGAGAGAGAAAAGCCAGGTAGAGAGAGAGAGAGAGAGTGAGTGATGGAGGGGGTTAGGTTGTGTTGTGCTGTGTGGTGTGGGCGTGAGAGAGTGATGCAGGGGGTTGGTTTTTTTGAGTGTATTTAACGGACTGACAATGCTACCCAGTTCAAATTTTGTGATTTAAAATTGGTTTAAATGGTCAAAACGTTTTGATCATTTGAACCACTTTTGAGTCATAAAATTTGAGTTACGAGATATTTTTCTTAACGGACAATGGTGTGAGAGGTGGGGTACTGAGTAAAAATGTTGGGTTGGGTTTGGTAAAGTTTTGTAAATATGATTTGAAAATATTTGTTGTATTTTAAGTTTGTGAGTTTTGAAATTATGATTTAGATGTAAAAAATTTATTTGGTAAAAGAGTTTTGAATTGAGTAGCGAATTTTTGATGTAACGTATGATATTTGACATAAAAATTTACAACTCATAACTAAACATACAAATCAAAATTCTATTAAAGCACATAAAAAAAATTTAAAAATTCGAAAAATACTTTTTTCGAATATATAAAAATTAACATATAACAATCAAAAAAAAAAAATCCACTGTTACGGTCAACCGATGGAACGTTCGGTAGGACATCCGGTGGGACGACCAGTTAGGCAAAATTTGAAAAAAAAAAAATTTGAAAAACACACCCCAGACAGAGTTTTCAACAGAGTTGTCAAAATGTGATTTGAGAATTCTAACCAAACATCATATTAGAATATATGTGTAAAATCATTGTTTGGAAACATAACTAAACACATTGATTTTAAAAAAATTATCAAATTTTTTTTTAAATGTTTTATTGAGTGTGGATTTATATCAGACATGAGTGGAGATTTATATTGGACTCATATAATATGAGGTTTATACTCATATAAGATATTTAGTAATGGTGTTATATGTACTATACTAACTAATATATCAATTAATGTTATAGTATTATTACTGTTCTTATTTGCTATATAAATTATAAATATTTAAAATATTATATTATTTATTAATACATTAATTAATATATATATATATATATTTTTTTTTATTACACGAAAATCCTCCCTACCCTCTCGCAAGTCCAAGGCAGCGCCCCTTGCAGAGATCACCACGGTGTCCTGTTAGCCGTTTTGAGCGAGGAGACTATAACTTAGGAACTTGCCCCGACCTCCCAAGACAAGCTCCGTTTAAGTCAGGACCCGCACAGCGAGAGAGTATTGAATCCACACCAAATGCTGATTAGACAACTTGAGGTCCAACCTCTTAACCAACTGTACTTCGCCTAGAAAATTGGCCAAAAAAAAAAAGAAATTGAACCTGTGATCTTGGAACTTAAACCCCAAACCTTAACCCAAGCCTCACATTATTCTTTGGTCTCTAACATTATTAAAGACGGCAACAATGCTACATATCATTAAATTTCTACCACTAATATCACCACTAATGATGTGGCAAGTAAAAAAAAAAAATAAAACAAAAATTAAGACACAAAATACATGTGACACTAATTAGTGGTCCGCATCATTTTTATAAAGACTAAGAGTTAGAAAGTAGAGGCCAATGAAGATGTGCCACGTAAGGAGCGCTGTGTCGGGTTGCTGGAAGATTGATTGGGTTGGACTTTTAGGTGCAGTGGGAGGTAGCGTTGCGTCAAACGATTCTCTTGCACTTACATTTACAGAGCATCTCTACCAGCATATTTATTTTTACATTTTTCTAATTTATTTTATTTTATTTTGATGTGCATTAACATCAAAACCCAACTTTTATCATAAAAAACAGAAAAAATCAAAAGTGTGTGTTTGGTCAGCTTCTCTAAATATTTTTTTTTTTTTTGTTTGTATATTTTGTTTGTTTAAAGTTTTTAAAAATTAATTTTACATTCACTTTTGAAAACTCTTTTCAAGGCAAAAAAATTTGGATTAATCAGTCATCCTCTCAGACATCCAGTTGGTTGACCGGAATAGTACTAATTTTTTTTTTTAACAATTGACACCTATTATTTTTTATATTTTAAATTTAAAAAAAAAAATTATGAGTTTCGAATAAAATTTTGAGTTGTGTGTTTGGTTATGAATTGTAAATTTTTGTATCAAATATCATATGTCATATCAAAAATTTCAAACTCAATTCAAAACTATTTTTAAAACTTTTTTCAAAACTCCTAACTAAAACAAATTTTTTACACTCAAATCATAATTTCAAAACTCTTCCAAACACCACCTAAATTCTTTATAGTATTTTTTAATAAAATTACTTTTAAATAATTAAAAATTAATTTTATAAAAATTAAGAGTATAATAATATTAAATTAAGGATATAATAATATTAGCAAAAATTAATTATACAAAAAATTACTTTACTAATCCGAATTTAACTCAACCGACCCTCTATCACATTTGATATTTTTAAGATTGAGTGCCACCCAGGCTAGACAAAAGTTTAACCAGTCACCGTTCAATATTCACTAGTTAATTAATTTTTTATATTTTTTCTCCTCTCTCTTGTGTGCTTACTAATTTAAGAATAAACCTTCGTAACTCGAAAAAAAGTTAGCCCGAGTGGCTAGAATACTAAAAACGATATCGTTTTGAGTATTTTTTTTCTTTCTTTTTCTTTCTTTCCCTCTTGTATCGTTGAAACAGAGGGAGAAAGAGAGAGACGAAAAGAGAGAGAGAGGGGAAGAAAGAAATGGGAGGGGGAAGAGAGAGAAGCACCCATCACCGGCGCCGCTATCACCGACGCCGCCATCGTTTTGGGCATAGATCTGTGTATAATGATGATGATGATGATGATGTGTTGATGACGATGTGTTGCTGTTGATGATGATGATGATGATGATGTGTTGATTTTGATTTTTGATTTTTGGGTTTGAATCTCTCTGATTTTTGGGTTTAATTTTTGAATTTTTGGGTTTTATTTTTGATCTTTAAAAAAAAGAGGATGTGGTGTTCTTTGTTGTTGTTGATGATGATGATATGTTGTTGATGATAATGATGATGATCTCTCTCTTTCACACAGCTCCCTCTTCTCTCTTCCTTCTCCTTCTTCTTCTTCTCCTTCTCCTTCTTCATCTGCGAGAGAGAAGGAAAAAAAAAATTTACTATCCAAAACGACATCATTTTGGACAGTCGAGCCACTCGGGTCAAAAGAAATTTGAGGTACATAAAAGAACTACTAATTTAAATTTAAAAACAAAAATAATGAACATTTTAAAGAATAATGGACTCATTATGAGTGCATCGGTTGTTAAATTATTAGGAAATGGGATGGATTTTGAGACTCCAATGGACTCTTAGAAGATTTGATAAGGTTGCCAGATTTTAATATAGTTGCTAATTGTGAGAGAAAAGAGAGAGAAAAAGATGAAAGTTTATGCCCAAAGCATAAGATATAAAGGAAAGAGAGAGAGGAGAGGAGAGGAAAAAAAATAAAAAACACCGACATATTTTTTAAAAACAATTATTTTTAACAAATATTTAAATATATTCATTGCGACACTCACTCATTAAACAAACAAACCTTGGCATACCAAATGGTGTCTCACTTTTTTCACTTTATGTTATATAGCACACAATTTTAATATTTTTATTAGAAATGCTCTCAATTAAAATGATTAGTGTATATAAAAATTGACTAGTTAAAATAGAAACACGTACCTTTTGATAAGCTATTTTAACTAATATTTATGGAGATTCATCATAGCTTTTCAATTTTTTTTAATCTCATGCTAGACTTTAAAAAATAATAAAAAATAATAAAAAACAACTGAAAGATTATGATGTGTTTGTAACAATAACTTACTAATATCACAAATGACAATGAATAATTGCTCTTTCATTAAAGGTGACAACTCCACTTTAACCTAGTATGGGATATATTTTTTCCCAATGAGGCAATTAGGAGAGAATGAAATTTGCTTAATATATAATGAAATTTGTTAAGAATATTCTAACAAGACTTGTTTTTTTGGGTAAGTACTAAGAAGACTTGTTAATAACCTTAAAATAATTTATTTGTTTTTATGAGAATATGTGCAATAAAAAACATATAATTATTTTAAATTTTGTTAACTAATAATTTTAAAGCATACATTAACCCAAAAAGAAATTAATTAATATAATTGAAATAAAAGTGAAATAAAAAAAAAAACGGTGCAGAGGCATACAGGATCATGACTAGACAAATTGTTATCCCTCACAGTGGTATATTTTATATACATACATATTTATATACACTCAAGTGGATCTTATTTTTAACATAACACACCATTTAACACATTTTAACTTTTCCGCTAATACCACAGTCACTAACTTGACAAATCTTCAGAGACAAACAAAATTAGGCTCCACTTGTTAGCACTCCTACCATATGACACTAACATACATAATTTAAACATTATTATCGGAAACATAGAACTCCAGTGCTGAAATCTGAAAATAATGTACCCAGAATGCAGCTCAATATCAGGGGTTTAATCACATGATCTGTAATAAGTGTTGAACTAAGAATTATTCACAGAATTTTAGTAGTCGGTGGCATTGGACCCAACACAGGTTCATTCGAGAAAGTGTTTTATATAATGGGTACGTCACATGGCTGACATAACGTGATGTACCTTTCCATTCATTAATTAACACATATTGTAAAAGTAGAATCCGATGAGTGACTTTGTGCTCGGCCCAAGGTGCTAGTTGTTCACCCACATCAAATTTTGACCCCACTTTTCGCCACATGTCAATTAATGAATGAAATGGTACACCACATCATCTCGGCCACATAGCATATTTGTTACATCAAACACTTTCTCGGTTGAGGGTGGCATCTCCATGGCCGAAATTTACATATATTTAGGAAATCATCAAAGTTAGCTTAGAAAAAGTCAATAAACTCAGATAATTAACTATCCAAGAGGATCAATTAATTAGTAAAACCAACTTAATCCCAAATCTTGTACAAAACTGTTTCAACTCAGAATAGTTCTAATTTCACTACGCAACTCGGGTCACTGAATTGAACCTAGGATCATCACTGACTGTTAAAATACAGATTCAAACACTTTTTCGAAACAAAAAAGAACACACACCTGCATATTGTGTCATTTTGGAATTCTCTTAAGTAGCCTGTATGTGCCAAAAACATTCTTATGCTGCCACAGGTATGGGATGAAGAATGACCGGTAAAAGGGAGGCGAGAGCTGCCTGTCCAGATACGGTAATGCAGCTACAATCTGAGGTGCATAAAAAAAAATATCAATTAAAAACTAAAAACTATATAAAACAAAGGGGAAATCTCAAATCAGTTGAACAATACTCGTTTATTTTTTCATTTTCAAAGGTGCAAGTAAGTTTTGTGTATAGTGCAAGTCTTTCCTGTGTGCCAGACTTGCAACAAAAGATTTCCATGTGTAGTGCAAATTTTCTAGTCTATCCCACTTATACACAATTCTCCCTAAAATAAATAAGAACTGAGAGAGAGAGAGAAGAAGAAGAAGAAGAAGAAGAAGAAAGAGGGGGGGAGGGGGAGGAATTCTACCTCCCATGTTGACAAATCACTTCCTCGAGAAGGGTAAGGTCGTTGAAGCTGCAACTCAATGAAAAAAGTACACTTTTCAAGATCCCGGAGCTGCAAAATGATAAAAATGCCATTGCTTTATTTCAAAAAAAGTTTCAGGACAAAAAGAGAGCATAGCAATTATAAGAAAAAAAATGTTTATAAATGAAATAATTTGTGGAAAGCATCTAATTACATATTGCTCATCTGATGCCTTGTTCTTATTGTTAAAATATGGTGGTGCCGCTGCAGTTCCGCCCAAAGTTGAATTAAATGGGAATGGAAGAAGACCCTTGAACCCGTCATCTATCCATCGAACTTGACCCACGTGATCAGGAATGAAGAATGATGATGGGAAGCGGTGCCATTCACTTCCAACACAAACCACGGAACCTGCATTGCATGTGAAAGAAAACATGGGCTCGCTTCACTCCCAGTATTAAAAAAGAGGCAGCCTTATGTCAATATGAGCTCATCTAGAGATTATTGTTGAATATAGAAATTAGAGTATATAGAATCTTTTTATTTTTAATATTATGTATCTAATCTATGATTGTGTCAATCACTAATTTAATATTGTTTCCTTATTTATATTGCTTCCTAAATTGTATCTTGAATCTATTATATATACATGGCATCTACCTCATTTATGGGAAAAGTCAAATAATTATTTTTATTCTTTTTTGTATCAGAACTAAGTTAAGTACCTAATAATCTTGCTTCACTGGCGGACGGTAACCTTGCCTTGGCCGCCTGTTGGACCTCAACCTATTTCACTGCCATATTTTCTTTCAGTATCACTTCGCAGTGATTTCTTCCCCTATCCACTAGTTTATTCCTATCCTAAATATCTCTATCATATTTTTTTTTAACTCGCAACCTAATTTTCTGTGTGTTTCTGTTCCACTTTGTTTTTCCCTCTATTTCAACCTCAAATAGATTTCTATTTTCAAACCTATTTGAGTCCGAGAGGGGATATCATACCTATATCATGTTGAGCATGGTGATGTACCATGTAAACCACCTAAGCCGCCTTATCTGACACACAACCCAAGTCATCCCCTCTGGCGCACAACCCAAGACGTCCCTTTGGCACACTACTTAAGCCGCCCCCCCTCGCGCACTTTCTAATAAGACGCCCCCTGGTGCACTTAGTCATCTGTTGTCATCATCGTTCAACACCACATCAGAACGCTTGCTAATTCAACATCCAGTTCTCTACATCGATCCGACATGACCCCTTAAACTGTCCTGACATTGATTTTGGTTAGTTCCTACAACGGTCCGACATGACCCCATAAACTATCCCGACATTGATTCCGGTCAGTTCCTACAACAGTCAAGCATGACCTAAACTGTCCCGACATTAGTTCCAACTAGTTTCTACAACGGTTCGGTTCAGCACGACCATAAACTATCTCCCCGACATTACTCCGGCCTCTAATGTCGACCAGGGTCTTGTTGGTTGCTGACTAGAGTGTTTCCTGGCCATAGATGCTTCAACAGCTCTTCTAAGGTAGTTCAGTCCCTATTATTTTCCCTTTCTAGGGTGTGATGCTGATGTATTAAGCACTTTTTTATCTAGTAGACTACCAGATTCGTTCGGTAACATTTATTTAGACTAGCTGTTGTGTTTTTTCCGGCTTCTTCTAGTCATCCCTTGGCAAACTGTAATTGTTGAATATCTTCACACCAGCTTGAAGAAGAGTGTTGAATATAAAAATTAAAGTACATAGAATCTTTTTATTTTTAATATGATGTATATAATCTATGATTGTGTCAATCACTAATTTAGTATTGTTTATTTATATTGCTTCCTTATTTATATCGTTTCCTAAATTGTATCATGAATCTATTATATATACATGACCTCTACCTCATTCATGAGAAAAGCCAAATAATTCTTTTCATTCTTTTATTATGTGTACACACTATAAAGTGGAGAGACATAAATCTCATCTATGTAAGACTAGCTTCATCAGCCAAATTCTTCTTATCCCCTATGACACCTAGGATCCACGCCCCACTTGAAGAACGACCCAGCTATAGCTTTGAGATTCTTGTTAGCTTGCAAAACATTTTGATGAGGATTTTTCTTTTTTCTTTTTTAGAAACTTGCTAACCTAATCAAATAAGTCTGATTGATATTGAAAACACGCAGCAAGAAAAGGAGGATAAGTTCTGAATAATAACCAAAAGAGGAAAAACTAACCAAAAAGGGAAAGATAACGTAAAAATAAAAGGCACGCTAAGTCAGATAACAAAATAAGTGCATAAAATTCATTAAGAACTCTTAGAAAAACAAAAACAAAAGAAAAGAACTACTAGAAAATTTGGGAATTAGTCCTAATACTGACAGTATTTGTGAATCATGGATGTTCAAAAAAGTAGCATATGATGAATAAACTATAAAATTGTGAATATAGCATATGTATATATACCAATGTATATGTAGAGCTTCCTATACTGATTTACCAAATGTAGCAATGTTTTATGCTATTTCAAGATCAATACAAAATACTTAAGGCTCAGTTTGGTTAGGATGAAAATGGTAGTAAGTGAAAGAAATGGAAAAAAATAAAAATTTCCTAAGTTTGTTTAGCATAAAAGTGGTGGAAGTTATAAGAAAATTAAGTTTCTACTAATAATAGCATGGTAACTAAGTTTCCAATTTCTTGCAAAAAACACAGAGAAATACAAGAAAGTTTAAATTTGTTATAAAAGTAATTACTTACAATTAGAATTCCTATTTTCTTATAAACTTTTCATCCTAATCAAATTCATACGAGAAAATATATTTTTTTCCCTTTTCTGTTCTCTCACTTTACTTTCTACCATTTTCACTTTCCATCATTTATTTCTTTCTAATCAAATGGAGCCTAAGGGGAAACTGATTCTTACCCGTCCCTACATCATCATGGTACTCCAAATGTTTGTAAATTTCCATAGGAGCAGAATAACCATGAATAAGGGAGAAAGTCCGAGCATGGGAAGAATATAATATGAGGCCCAGAACCAAAGGTCTCAAACCTTTCGCTATCTACATAAGCAAGTAAACAAATATAATCAGTAATCCGCAACACTCAATCGGATCACTACAGATAATAACAATCTCAGTTGAAGCTCACCATAACAAGCACATAATTATGATTGGGATTGTACTTGTCTCGGAAAAAATCAGGAAAGATCTCAATGACAGCTGAGGCAGCTACACAGATAAGTGGGTATATTGGATAAAGGAATCTGCAATAACAGTTAAATAAATGTCATTAAATGCATCTATAATCTGCAGTAAATTAATAACACTTAAAGCTAGACTGTATAACACAATCTTTTAGTAGTGACTATCTTCAGCACCTAGGAAGCCTAACCAAGAGATTTGAAATCCAAACTGGCCAACAAAATAAGGAAGCACCTTGATGTGAAATTTTAGTGGTCAGGTCAGTGCCGCTAGTAAAATCCACAAAACCATCTGGTATTTGGTAAAATTGTGCCAAATGTCATGGATAAAAGGGAAAACTTGCAGAAAGAAAATAAGATTTTTAGCTTTTTTATCAAGTTGTTCTATCATTAATACCCAATCTCATATAAATCTTTGTTATAAATGAAAACAGCCTAGTACATGCTGGCAACACAATAGCCATTTGTTTACCAGTCAAGTTATTCACCAACTTGTTTTATTGACTATGTCATTAGCAACATGTGGAACCAAACCCCTTGTACGCAAATGGAGTATATGGATCTTTTCTTGTTAAAATACAAGATGTGTGTGTTGTCCATCAATTTGTTCACTATATCCCAGAAATTAAACAACGCACATTTTATTCTCTCTCTAGTTTGTCACCCTACATCTGTTATAGCCAATGTCCTTCAGTTACTGGTAGGTACAATGATATGTCATTCAGTTACAGACTCTGTAAACTATGGTTTCCACCCAGCATCAATTGAAGGTACTTAGAGCACTAGGTCAGATGGGCAGACCAAAAGGCCTAACTGACCACCCAAAACAAGACAACAAAGTTATTTCCCACTTATTAGCATACTAAAGTTCTCACCAGCTACACACATCTGTTGCCACCCATATGCAACTAGTTGTCAAATCTGTTGTCAAGAAGTGCACTCTTGCAGCGGCTCCAAGTAAGAGCTCATGCTCTAACATTGCATGCCAAATTGTCACTGCCATACCATGTAGCAGCAGCAACAGGTGCCGCTCCAAGGTTTTTAATTTTGCTTTTTTTGGCTGTGTTGTTGCCCATCCAACAACATCATACCGCAGATATGAAGGACTTGGCTCACATCCTGTGGCCAGAACACACAGTTTTCACTCCTATTTTTGCTTCTTTTCCTCCTCTTTCAACCCTATGAAAGTAACTTTTCTGGTAAGAAGCGATGCACCAGTGAAAGATAAGGTTTTATCGTCGTTATAGTGAATAAATCCATTGTTTCTGGCCAAGATAATAAGGTTATTTGTTATCAGTATTTCACAAAATATTGTAAAATTAATGACCAATTTGAAACCATGTGCTGAACTGCACTCAAGAAGAACCATATAAAGGCAACGAATCAAACAGGTCATTACCCAATGTTGGTCCTGCCAAGACAAACTGCTGGGAAGGGATGGAGTCAATGGACAGCACTATTTGCATGAATTGGCTGCCCTTAATTTTAATCCTCAAGTTTGACCACTTTAATTTATGGTTGGCAACCAGTGCATGATTTCAAATCCTTGTCTGTGTTTGAGGCAATATTAAATGCACAAATCTTTCTTCTCATCTAGCAAAAATAATAATATAAATTAAAGGGGATGTGACAATCCATAATTACAAAAGATTAAATGGACATGTAACAGAATTCATGCCATACTTTGACAATGACAAATGGCAGTAATTCACATCCTTTACACTGGGAATCAATGTTTTGAAAAGCAGTTCCAGTCGTCGTGACGATTCCAGTGACACGGTAGCAGTTGCGGGGTGTAAAGGTCGTAGCGTAACGATTGCGGTAACCTGAACCGTGATTTTTTTAATTTTTTTTTCGCACAATTTGAACAAAACTTACCGATATGCATATATATATTTTTCAGAATCACATTTATTGGGGTTTAAAAAAAATTGATCAATTTTTGTTAATTTTTAAGTATAATCCAATATATTTCTTATTTTCAAATCACTATAAAAGGAGCTTTTCATATTTTATTTCAATAGTTAATGATTTTAAGAATAATTGATTTTAAATGTCTACAAATTATTTTTTACCAATACCTAAACTAACTGAATAAAAAATATTCACAATTATTAAATGAAAGTATTATAAAATAAAAATTGTGCCATACCATAAATTTTTAAAAATATATATATATAAAGAAAAAAAATTCATATAAGATTTTTTATTTGGGCTTAGATCACTTGAATATTCGTTCTTTTTTTGTAAGCTTTTTTTTTTTTAAATTTTGGAAAAAGAAGCTATTTAGAATATTATAAAAGGGTGTAACGGTGTCTAACAGACTGTTACGGCCGTTACGTAACATCAAAACGGCCGTTACACATGTAAATTTCTGCCACACCGCTATAGCGGCCGTAACAAGTGGCGGTAACCACACAATCACTACATAACGGCTGCAGCCGCTTTTTAAAACCTTGCTTGGAATAAACAAAACTGTTGGAAAATATAAAGAGGCGTGGAATGAATCTAACCTTTCTTCTTTGTGTGGCTGCAGAGACATAAATGCCAGCCAAATATAGATAGGTGAGATGACAACCAACAAGTCTGGAACATACTTCTTCTTTGCAATGGGCAGGATCCCAAGGAACAGCAATGCAAGAACAAAGCAGAAGTTGAAATTATTAAATCCATTCTTCAGATAAAACAATGGCCCTTCAGTTCCATACAAGTGGCTCTCACCACCCCCTAAGACATTATATATCAACAGATTCAGAACAGATGACGTCCATCTCTTGTAATGGTAGTAGTCAACAAGTAATGAGAGTGCCTGGAAGAAATCCAAAACATTTGTCAAGTAATTTGCAATACCACAATTAGCTTCAGACAATTATAAATTTGTGCTGCAATGCATGAAATTCAGGGGAAGAAATTATGAGCAACAATTTGACGTTAACTTACCAGAAGCAAAAGTGATGTGACTGCCCCTGCAAGAAATGCTTGTTTGAACTTTCTAATCAATGAGTAAATTGTTATGGGAAAAAAAGCCAAAACTGAGAATGGCCAGCCGAGAATAACCCCGATGACTGCAACTGCAACTGCCATGGCAGGTTTCTCAAAGAGAAATAGAGCAGATGAGAGAGATATGGCGTACATTGAGAATGAACTCGGCAATAAACCTACAAACAAATTCCAGATGATGAAATGTAAAGATTCTGACAAGAATAACATCAACAAGAATTTCACAGTGAAAATAAGGATGAACATGGAGAGTACAGCAAAACGAATATTTGGCTCCTACGACTTTACTGTAGTTTATAACAGCAAAATGCGAGAAAATGGATAGCAGTAGAGTGAAAAGGCCTACTTACTCGTGCTAGCAAAAAAACAACCACTAGTTAAGCATAGCATTGCAAGTGCATAAGTAGCAAGGCGTTTTCCATATTTCCTAGAAAGAGCTACAACCAGAGCAGCCTCTGTGATGACAGAGAGGAGACCAAGAAAGATTCTTACAGCATAAAACACTCTCACCTGGAATGGTAGAATACATTAGTTCAAGCATAATTAGTTGAGGAGATGAAAAATGCGCAAGGTCATCAAGAGAATAATAAATTTGAAAGTGCCAAATTATCTTACTTTTTCCTCACTAAACAACAATGAAGCTGGTCCACCGACTACTTTATGAAAAAGAAGGTATAGGTATGAGCGAAGTGCAAACTGGGAGCTGCAGTTGACACATTTCCACAAAAAAAAAAAAATTATCACGGACAAAGTTCCGAAGCACTTCAAGCTCTAGCAACAGTTTTGAGCACCTTAAAACAACCTAAGGTCCTAAACAATAATATTTATCAAAAAAAAAGGGGGCGAATTATACTAATAATCCTTATAGTTTGGGTTTTGTGTCACTTTGATCTCTGACTTTTCAACTGTGACATATTTGATCCTAAATTTTGAATATTGTTTCAAATATGGACAATTGAAAATACAATTGCTCAATTTCAAGGGTAAAGTCATAAATTTAATAAAATATAAACTAATTTGACAAAAATAAATATCAAAAAAATATTTTTTAATTTTTAAAAATTATTTCTACCTACCAAAGATAAAATTATATAAAATTGATAAATCTTTTAAAATTTTATTTATTTATTTATTTTACCAAATTAATTTTTATTATGTGTTTAGATGATGATCATGTAATGTGTGGCTATTAGGAATCAATATATTTAATATATAAAATATTTTTAGTTTTGAATTTTTTGATTTAATGGATTGGTTTAATAATGATATCAAAGTTGTCGCCATATTTAAGTTTTGAAAAAATAAAAACTAATTTAATGAAGAAAAAAAAACAACCATCCCTTACATGATTATCATCCAAACACATAATAAAAATTAATTTGGTAAAAAAAATAAATGAATGTTTAAAAAATTTATCAATTTTACATAATTTTATAGAACGGCTATTAAACCAACGATTTTTTATAGAATGGAGTGTTGAGCAACCAAGAAACAACATGTAGATAAGATGAATGTGGTTGAAATAAGAATGCTAAGGTAGATATGTGACAAGACTAGACAAGACAAGACAAAATTAGGAATGAGTGTATTCGAGAATGGGTAGCAGTAGCATCGATAGAAGATAAGTTGACAGAGAATCGATTGAGATAGTTTGGTCATATTCAACGAAAACCAACAGAGGTAGTAGTGAAGTGATGTGATGCTGTAACGGTAGATGGAAGTGTTAGGGGACAGGGTAAACCTAAATTAACGTTGGCTAACGCTGTAAATAGAGATATAAATCTACTTAATTTGACTAACGAAATGGCCTTTAATAGGGCGTGTGGAGAAAAAGAATTTACATAGCCGACCCCATTTGATGGGACTTAAGGCTTGGTTTGGTTTGGTATGGTATTTTTGTCAAATTAGTTTATATTTTATCAAATTGACTACTTTGCCCTTGAATTGAATAGTAATATCTTCAATTGTTTTTATTTGGAACAATATTCAAAATTGATGATCAAATGTGTCACAATTGAAGAGTAAGGGACCAAAGTGACACAAGTCCCAAATAATAGGAACCGTTAGTATAATTTGCCCAAAAAAAAAGTACTAAACAATAATATAATATATTATTCCAGAAAAAGGCAAATTTTGATCTCAATAAGCATGATAAATTAGGGAGTCCATATTGAGAGATATCCAAAACAACATGAGTGAAGATCATAATGCAAGTCACCAAGAGCCAGACAGGAAAAATCAGTTTCTAGAGAGAAACATTGAGAAGGATTAAATTACAAGCGACTGTTTTTTACAAGTAAAATTTTATTCAGATTTCAAAGAAAAGGCATTAAAGGGGGTGCCACATTATTGTTTTTCTTTCTTGATAAGTCAAATTACATGTGGCTCATAGAACACACCTGTCTTGAAGAGTAAAGACTATAGTCAAGTAGTAAACTCTAAAAGAGAAAGCAAGGTATGACATTTTTGGTAGGTAATTGTTTTGCAGATGAAATTAAGTCATTTCTTCAACTAAGAATATCTAAGCTTCAATGAAAAGTCTGAAGAGACAATATCATAGCATCCAATAATCCAAGAACTTTCGCAATGGGAAGGTAAAGTCGCTGAATCAGGATCCTCTCCTTGCATTTCCTACTTGCAAGCACATTGGGCCCACTTTTAGGCCCAATTTTGATAATCCGAACCGTTCATATTTTAAGATTTGTTCAGTATATCATACTTGTAAAAAATCAAGTTGATCGGATATCAGAAAGCATGTGTTCAGAAAACTCGAACTAAAAACTATTTTTTTAAAGAATTTAATAAACAGTTTTCCAAACACATGCTTTATGATATCCAATCAACTTGATTTTTTCCAGGTACGATATACTGAACAAATCTTAAAATATGAACGGTTCGGATTATCAAAATTGGGCCTAAATGTGGGCCCAATGGGTTTGCAAGTAAGAAATGCAAGGAGAAAATGCAAGAAGGGGATCCTGATTCGTGGAGAATAGCTTGACATCCAATCTTTTATTAAAAACCTTTGACTGAACAGATAATTTAAAATCACCTAGCCCAGATTGTTGGCTAAAATCATCATAAGCTAATGATTTTCAGTTTTTTACTTCTGAAGAGTACTTTGAGCTTAATTGGCAATGCTAAGAAATGAGTGGCCCTAACAGTTATAGTATTTAACAATCAGAGAGGAAAGAGATATTTGAAACACAGCCCCTACAGATTCTTTAGTGCTACAACGAGAGGCATATTTCTCGAGGTCGATATTTGTCAAGAAGAATGTAGCTCGTCTCATGTATGACTAGCTCACTGCTGTCAAGAAAATTTCCAATTCATTGTACTTGGATTTATGGGGATAGAAGTCATTTTTACTCATACAAATCACTTCTGTAATAATGAGGCAAGCGGATCTAGCATTTAAAAACACTAGAAGCCTTAGTATGAAGGTTACACAATCGTTCTCTACAACCACCTTCGGTGTGACATGATTACCGCTTTACTAACCAAATCAAAAGGACTTATAAAAAATAATATGAACAATCTCATCTCTAGTGTTTGATACTGAAACTGATCTACATAGCAAATAAGAAGTAGCTTAATGCATATTATTTTGTTTATTTGGGAACTAAGGAGCATGGACATGGATACGAATGCTGACACGGACATGGGACACGGTGATTTTAAAAGAATGGGGACATGGACACAGACACGGCGGAAATACGACAATAAAATATGTTTTCATATATTTTTATTTGCTATCTAGATTAATATTACATCCACAAACAATCAATATTAACAAATACTAACTCTAATTATATTTTTTTTAAATACTTTTAAATTAAAATTTACAGTTTATATCTTCTTTTTTTTTTGGATGATCTATTAAGTATTTAAATCTAAGAAATAAATAATAAATAATAAATATTCAACATTCATCAAAAACACTAAATAAAATGAAAAAAAAAAACAACTTAACATGTCCCTAGTGTGTCCGACACCGATACGACACTTATTTTATAGTGTTGGTGCTTCATAGTTTGGGAACCTTCCTCAAAAGCCTTTACAATGATCAGCCTATTAGCTATTCGAAATTGTCTCTTTTCCTCGCATCCGTGGGGTTACTAATTTAAAATAAAATATAAAATAAAAAAAGGACCACCATTGAAGTGCTGATCTAGAGAATGCAAATGATACAGTCCAAATGGAATCAATCTCTAGATTACAACAAAAGGGGGAGTTCTTCAAAGGGATCAAACGCAAAGACAGGCTGTGCTTCCACAAGACAAGAACATGTATGGGAGGTAACATTAGACTACACCACAGATTGGTCTTCTGATAATATATACATTTTCAAATCTCATATTCATGTACCAATTCTGTCGAATTCAAAGGCAATACATTCTCCAAGAAAAATTACAATGTCATGGCCTCAAAAGTTAGGGCAACTCCAACACTTGACTCAAGCCCATATCAAATTCAAATTTGAGTAAAAATCAATCAAAAACCTCTCCACTCCTGAACTCAAACTTTTATCAAATTTGAGTTTTACCCAAATCAAGGGAGACTCAAATATTTACTCAAATTTACAATTCTGCCATCACTAACATTTTTACTCAAAGTTATGCTTAAATTTGAGTTTGTCCATTTGGAGTGCTTCATTTCAAACTGAACTTTTACTCAAATATGTTTACATACATATATATATAGAGAGAGAGAGAGAGAGGGGGTGGGGGGTTTTGGACCTGTATTCCCAAGTCTGGAAGCCAGATTTGTAGATGAGATAGTGAAGAGGCTCCCAATAGTTGAAGACCTCGTCGCAATCATGTATGATGTTCGATGTAGCGCTCATGTACCTTAGCACACCTAGGGCCAACAGTGGGAAAGTCCACCCCAATCCCCTGTCCACCTCGTCTCCGCCGTCCGATCTCTCCGGCTTGTCGAGCTTCGTGTACGACGTAGACGACGACGATGAAGAAAGATCCGACGGCACTGGCCGTCTCTGCCGCGTCGTAGAAGAAGCCATTCTGCTACTCTCTCTCTCTCTCTCTCTCTCTGTTTTCTCTTTTCTAGCTTTCGCCTGCTGTGCAACAGTCCTCTCAACAGGCCGGTCTTTTTAAAAGACACTCCGGCCCGGTTCAGAGATATTCATTGCTTCCTAATAAAGAAACCTGGACACATGTTGGGCTGCAAAAGAGGGAGGTATGCTTTATCAAGCCCAACCCACTAATAAATGGGCCTAGCCCTTGTTTGGCGATTATTTACCTAAGATTTTGAGTTTTTTTTTTTTTTTTAAAGTCTCTAATATTAAGATTGTTGGGGCAATCCCACATCGCGTAGGAGGACGAACCGACTTCATCTTATAAGCGTACTGGCCCTTCAATCTGTTACAACGCGTTTTCCCCCGAAGAGGAACAAAGTCGTGAGGCCGACTGGGCTCCGCGCCCACCTTGCCAAAGCCTACAATATTATGGCAGGCGCCAGGCACACGCATTTGGCGCTAGAAGGAGGGCTCGTCTCTTCTCCCGATGTTACGGGCCCAGTCCGCTGGGGGTTATATTGGGGCAATGTCACATCACCTGGTTGGACAGACCGACTTCATTTTATAAGTGTACTGGTCCCTCAACCTATTACAACGCGTTTAAAACCATGATGGGAGACAGCCAACTCCGTCCCTCAATCCCAAAGCGGACATATATTGCTGGCTGAGTTATCCAGCACTCACCCAAACACAACGCGTTTAAAACCGTAAGGAGAGGACGGCCAGCTCTGTCCCTCAACCCCAAAGCGGACAGTATTGCGCTCTACCGGCTGAGTAGTTGTAACACCCCAAAAATGAAAATCATAATTATCTAGATTATCCATATGTTAATTATGAATTAATGCAAATGTATCTGTGGGAAATGAGACTTGTGCCTATTATGTGATTGATTACTTTGAAGTAGCATTCGCTATCGTGAGATTTAGAGGTGAGCATGGTTCGGATTGGACCGAACTGGGGGTAAAACCAGGACCAATCCGTTATTTACGGTTCCTAAAAAATTGGAACCAATCCAATCCGTTTAAATCATCGAACCAATCCGAACCAATCCATTTAAACACGGATTGGATTGGTTTAGGACCACAGATTCACATAATTAAATAACAAAAAATGTATATATAACACTTTAATTTCATAAAAACATAAACATAGCGCTATATTAGTTCCACAATAGCAACATGTCTTTCTATAATAGCGACATACTGTGCTAAAAAAAATGCCAAAAAAAAAACACATCAATATGAGTTACATTATATTTTCAATCTATACACAAGAACCAGACTGGGGGTAAAACCAGGACCAATCCGTTATTTACGGTTCCTAAAAAATTGGAACCAATCCAATCCGTTTAAATCATGGAACCAATCCATTTAAACACGGATTGGATTGGTTTAGGACCACAGATTCACATAATTAAATAACAAAAAATGTATATATAACACTTTAATTTCATAAAAACATAAACATAGCGCTATATTAGTTCCACAATAGCAACATGTCTTTCTATAATAGCGACATATTGTTCTAAAATTTAAACAACCATAAAAAAATTAGTTTCACCATAAGTATTTAAACCATTACAAATTAAAACTAAAAACTAACAAACAAAAGTTATAAAATAAGGTATTATGCAGATTTAGGTTTGAGTTTAGGTTTTATATGGAATAAGAGAAGATACTATGGGGAGAATGTATAATAAAAATATAGACTACTTGTATACAGTTCGGATCGGTTCCAATCCGGAACCGTGGGGTTCAATCCGGAACCAATCCGTGGACTACGGATTTTTAATTGTTCAATCTGGAACCGAACCACGGATTCAAAAAACCAATCCAAACCTATCGGATTGGACTGGACTGGATCGGATTACGAATTTCACGGATTCCTTGCTCAGCCCTAGTGAGATTAAATTATGGGTATGTCTTGAATATTAATGGCTTATGAGTAACTATGATGGATTATTGATTTTAATTCCCGAATTGATTTGTGAATTGTTGACTAATTAAGAAATGAAGTCGAACATTTGTGATAAGTGCTGAGTAGGGAAAATGAATGATGATATGAGACCGGGATATCTAATCCAGACGTGATACAAGGCATGGTAAGTTTAGAGGGTCAAGCTTCTTAAGATGGGGAGACTGTAACACCCCAAAAATGCAAATCATAATTATCTGGATTATCTATGTGTTAATTGTGAATCATATGATTAATTTGTGCATATCTATCCAAATTGGCAAATTATTTGTTGAGAATACGACTTTGAAACTGAAATTGACGGCCGAAATGGGTTCAAAAACCAAAATGGAGTACATAGATATGTTAATTGGAATTTTTAGAATAATTTGGGAAGTTTAGTTTAAAATTGATTTCGTCTGATTCGTAAAGTCATGTTTGACTCTCATTACTTGTATTGAGTTTAGAGATGGATAGTTAAAGCCTAATTCACATTAGTGGAATTAAATTTAGTATAATTGATATCATAATATGTTGAGAATTAATTTAATTAAAGTGAAATTGTTATAATTTAATTCAATGGAATTTATTGCTTGAGCTTAGAGGAAATTAGGGATTAATTAAGCTTCCTAAACCTATTCATCAGTTTAAGTAGAAAATAAGAAGTTAGTGGGTTTTGCTGGAAAATATACGACTAGAGAGAGAGTTCTTGAGAGAGAGCTTAAGAAAGAAAGAAAAGAAGAGCAAGAAGAAGAACATGGAAGAAGAAAAACTTTGATCTCCACAAATTGATCAACTTAAGGTAGGAATTATCTTCTAATTTCATGAATTTGACTTGTTATATGTCATGACCCGCTCCTCGTACACAAGGGTGTAGCATCGTGATGGCCAATAACTGAAGTTACCTTCGACTAATTCTTAAATAAATTACTAAACGCGAGCGGGAAAAAAAAATATTTAAGTGAGGGTATTAAAATAATCATTGGAGTTTCTATTTAATTAGAAAAAAAAATATTTAAGTAAGGGTATTAAAATAATCATTGGAGCTTCTATTTAATTAAATTGTTAGAGCTGAACTATGTCTACAAAGTGCTTTGTGCCTACCCCACGTGCTAGCCTTGACATGTCACCTGAAAGTGGTAAACAACTATAAGCACATGGCAGAGTGAAAAATATTATACTAAGAACATAAGGGCATAAAATTCACCATGGATAATTATTGGCTAACAAAGCTTGATATTAAAATACAGAGTATATAATATAGAGATCACTTGACATATAATACAGAAATAAAATAATTACAACCATAGTACAGAACGGAACAGAACAGATGTATAGACTCAAGAGGTGGCTCATACGAACTTTAGAGGTGACTCCTACCATAGTGTAGCACTTAGTTCCGTACAACACTTTACTCCACACCAGAAATCATAATCACGATACAGAACATAACAGATGTATGGACTCAAGAGGTGGCTTGTACGAACTCTAGAGGTGGCTCCCACAATAGTATAGGACTTAACTCCGTACAACACTTTGCTCCACACCAAAAATCAGAGTGTCAGTAGATTCATGACAGACAAAGAGTCACAAAGTGACTAATTAGATGGCCAATAATTATTTAAGTCCCTCAAGGCATGGGACCTCCATAATGGTACTTATAAAATAATTACTCAAAACACATTTTAAGAAACAATTATATCCATAGGTTTTTCGTATTATATAAAATAAGGTTCATAAATTAAAAATGTTAATATAATTTATAAAGCATAATTTACATAAAATAAATTATGATAACTCAAAACATACGTAAAATATATAATAATAACTCAAGGTATAATATAAATCACCTCAATATTAATCCCTTACTATTACTTCTTTGTTCGCCGAAATTTTAACTTTTTACGGACAAAATATACCTCATTTTTCTTCGTACGTTTACCCAAAGCACATATTTATAGGTGTTCTACAGGCAACATTTCATTTCCCCACAAGGAACCACATAGTATCACCACGTGGCCCCCCTTGCGTGCATGCCATGCTTATCCGTAAGGATAAATATTTGAATTTTTTTTTTTTCTTTTACTTATCTACAGCGATTAGATTAAGGCTTGGTTTGGGAAGTGGGCTAACTTTTTAACTTTTTGACCTTTTTGACTATTTTAGCCTGGGTTAAAAGCTTAATTTGAGAAGGACTTTTTAGTTTTTTGGTTTTTTTAGTTTTTTTTGTGAAAGAAGAGAGTAACGATTATGGTTGAATGTGATGTTTTGTTTTTTATGGCTAAAATAACCTATTTTGTCTTTTGTGGCTAAAATAGCCAAAAAAGCCCCCAACCCAACTTGCCAAACGGAGCCTAACTCTAATTAAAGAAAATAATAACGTCTAATCATAAAATCAATTATTTAATTTTATTATTACTACCACTATTATTATTGTTGTTGTTATTATCATAATTAATTATGGTATTAATTAAATAATTAGAGTGTCGCATTTTATTTTACTCTTACGGAATATTTAATTAAGGACTGGTTTGGGGTGTCCTAAAAAAGTGCACTTTTTATCTTTTTGGACTAAAAAAGTTGAGAAAAAAATATGGAGGTTTGGGTTAACTTTTTGACTTTTTATGAAAAAATGTGTATTAAAAAATTGTATAAAAAAGTGTGTAAGAGATGATTAGAGAGGGGTGGGCCCCAGCCGTACAACCGGCTGGAGTGAATTGGAGTTGGAAATTATTGGCTAATTTTTGTACAAAGCACTGGACGGTTTTGTTTGGCCCGTGGGGGTCATCACGGATCCCATTTTAATAATTTGAACCGTTCAGTTTGTGTAACTCGTCGAACACTAAGTACCTGTAAAAAATCACATTAATCGGATATTGGTAGCTATCTGATCAGATTTATTTATTTTTCAATCATTAATTATAACACCATCCATTTGTTGTACATAACTGATTTGATCATATAGTTATCGATATCCGATCAATATGATTTTTTGCAGACATATAGTACTCGATGATTTCTACACATTGAACGGTTCAGATTATCAAAACGGGACCCGTGATGACCCCCATGAGACGAACAACGGTGTGTGTAAAAACCACACCCAATCATTTCTTTTT